AAACACATCATTAAGCGTTTATCAGTTATTTTCAGTCATACATTGATATACATTTCGCTTACTGGGGGTGGAGTCCAGCTGGGTCCACTCTGCACGGTGGCCACTGATTGTTCTATTGTACCTGCCCCGGGTGATTATGATGATGGATAATTTTGTGGAATGAAGATTGGCAGGGAAAACCGAAGTACTCCGAGAAAACCCGCCCCGGCGCCACTTTGTTCACCACAAATCTCACTTCACCATTCCCAGGATCGAACCCGGGCCCCCACGGTTGGAAGCCAGCGACTAACCCATTCATATACATAATGACCATATTGTTTTTAGTTCCTACAGTTTGTAGTCTACTTTTGTCATTTTCTCTGAAAAATGTGTTAAGAAATTAAAGAGATTGATTTTATACAAAATCAGTTATTCAGTTATTCGTCTAAATCAAATAGGTCCCCCTCAAAATAGCATCCCTCTGATGCGTAACACTTGGCCCAGCGAATTTTCTACTACGCCTCATAGCAGGATTGGAAGTCAGCTTCTGTTAGAGTTTTGATGTCTTCGGTTTCAGCCTTCTGAATCCTGTCAAATGTTTGAAAATGATACATCTTGACTCTCGATTTTAATTTTGGGAACAGGAAAGAATCACAAAGTTGCAAATATGGGGAATAAGGAGCCTGCAGAAGTACGGGAATGCACTTCTTAGCCAGAATTCACGAACTGACAACACTGTATGTGGGTGCGTTGCGACGAAGCTCGAAGGATCCGATCATCTGCAGTTTCCGTTCAAACCCGCATCAACCTCTTTCTTAGACGGTCCAGAACTTCATGATATATTTTTTATTCATTCTGGCACCAGATGGTACAATTTCTTTATGAACGACCCCTCGAGAATCGAAGAGAATTATCATTGTCTTTTTTTATTATTTGCTCATTCGAGCTTTCGTCTGTCTTGGAGACATTTCCTCACTCTGCCTCCTGGTTTCAGGGTCGTATTCGAAAACAACTTTCCTCACCTGTTATGAACCAATTAAAGAAAATGTGGTTCAGTTTCGAGCCGTTCAAGAAAATCTGCCGACACTTCGTTTCGACGCGAGTTTTGATTATCTTTCAAATTTTTTGGTACCAACTTTGCGCAGTCTTTTCTCATGTTGAAATCTTGTTGACGGTACATTCACTAAGTTCCTCGGCGATCATTCCAATTGTCAAACGTCGACCTTGACGAATGAAGGCCCTCACACGGTCGATGTTTGTGCTTCGTTTCACAAAGGAAGGGTGCCCAGGTCACGGTTCATCTTCCACCTTTTCTCGCCCATTTACAAAGTCTTCGTTCCACCGAAATACTTGAGCACGTGATACAGAATCATTACCAAACGCTTTCTGAATCTTTTTATAGGTATCGGTAGATCCCTCACCCAGCCTGACACAAAATTTGATTGCATAAAGTTGCTTGCATTTATTTCGCTCCATTTTGTGAAGCTGTAACACGAGCCTCAAGAGAACCACATATGTTCGTGTTAGCAGGTTCAAACTTGGACTGAAGGTAGAGGAGGGACGTAGCTATCATCTCGGAGCCGCAGTATTGCCACTTCTCACACTACAAAATTAATCGCATTACATGGTTAATACCTAGTATGTCGTGAAACTTAGAGGCTATATTTTGAGGCAGTTTATGAGAACCTACGTCGGTCTGAATTATTCTCCTGGAAAACGAGCCTCAAGCCGCATAGTTACCAGGAGATCTGTTTTTCCGTACACATTCTTGTAAACGAATAGGCATACAGACCATCACACACTCTCTGAACGTAAGGCCTGTGTAACACTTCCAACTTAAAATAACAAGTGATGTATTAATTGTATAGTTCTGGCTTCTGGGATATAGCGCCATGTATTTCGCAGAAAATCCATGTTTCGGAGGATTATATCGCTTCCATCTTCAAGGCCAAGGGATAAACAACGCACGAAGAAAGCAGAGCAGTCCACTTGACGAAAGCCTACTGGGGACCCAGCAGTATAATTTCGATCAACCTTTCACTTATTCATTCTGTTTTTGTTCATTGATTAATTCATATTTAGGCTATGACATTGTTGCTGTTGAAAATCCGTGTTATGAACAATTGGTTAATAATAAGCGAAATGTCAGGAAAGAGTACATCTCTGATGGAGTCTGCACATTGTAATAATAAAGGAATGCTGTGCTCAGGAAATAATGCCATCAACCATATCAGTGAAGAAATTCTTATCATCTAAGGTTTTCACAGCGGTGACTATGATCAATGTCATCTTCTGGGTTGTGGCGCATGTAGATTTTGTGTGAACCGACGTTTCAGAGGAACGCATCGCCTCATTCGCTCGCTGGTTTTTCTGCCCTGAAGATGGAGGCGATATGTTCCTCCGAAACGTCGGTTCACACAAGATCTACACCACGTCACATCCCAGAAGACGGAATTATTCAAGTTCTTAACAATCTTGGCTGAGAAATTAAAATATGTGTGGACCCCATTCTGTATAAGCCTTCAGCGAAGGTACGTTTCCCTTTGAAGTTTCAAGTCATAACTAATATAAAAGCTAGCCAGTCGTAGAGGCCCGTAGGGTTCTGAGATGTTGAGGCCCCCACATCTTCTAGACAATCGGCTCACAGATGGCGGTGAGGTTGTCAGCCCTACGTGCCGGCCTCCTTTACTCCCAGGAAGATTCCTGGTACTCATTTCTCTTAGAGCCTGAGTCGACCCCAGGGCCATAGTGCAGCTGGAAGGATTAGGTAAATTAAAAAAAAAATTTCACGTCATCGGGTCTCGATCCCGCAACCATCCGGCTTGTAGCATAGTGCCTCAACCAACTACGCTACCGCGTACCCCCATAACTAATATATTCCTTATTTCCTAATAAGATCTGCTGTCGAAGTGTCTGATGGCGTCGCGCATACATACGCACCACAAACAATTTTCTTACTGAATACGCTTGAAATTAGCGGGGGGGGGCATATACGGGTAGGGTTTGCGCAAATACGTCTTAGGATTTTCTTCGAGATTTGAATTCAAGCAGTCGCGTAGATACCAAAAGAGACTGGAGCTGTGGGATGCACGCAACTGGCAGCTGCATCATGACAACGCCCCAGCTCATTCATCACACCTGATCCAGGGTTTCCTGGCCAAGCACAGCATTCCGCAGGTTCGCCAGGCTCCCTACTCTCCTGACATGGCTCCTTGTGATTTCTGGCTGTTCCCGAGATTGAAGACACCGCTACAAGGCTGCCGTTTTGACGGCCGCGAGGACATCATACAGAACGCGACGGCGCAGCTGCACGCCATGCCAAAAGAAGCCTTCCAGAATTGCTTCCAGCGATGGAAGGACCGCTGGGCTAAGTGTGTGGAGTCACAAGGGGCCTACTTTGAGGGCGATTAGGTATTGTACACCCAGACACAGAACTTCGTTTTCCCGGCCCAAGGTCGGATACTTTTTGGACAGAGTAGTATATCGCTCTCTTATTACCTACAGAGACCTAACTGATGTCCACTTGGCTTATCCTGATGTAGAGCTGCCGACACGATTTTACTGAACTGGTCCATATGGACATGTGCCTGAATGTTTTGAAAGGAAGTAAACCTTTCATATCGCCATAAAGTAAACCACATTCCATGGTAAGTACTAATTACCCTTCACATATCAACATCAGAATGTTCTGAATACTCAGCAGAACTGAAACAAGAGACTGCTCGCTCTCCCGTTACTTACTACATAACTTAGTTCATGCAACGTGTTAAAGCTCGACAGTTTGTTTCTTTGGTAATCCTATATTGCGTATTCCAGAGCTTTCACCGTTACAAAACTTTTATATGTATGTATACTTGTACATAGATCTATATATACGTTGTGATGCTTGCCCTTTATTATGTGTAAGAAAGTACAGTTTAAAAAAAATATTCTATTTTAGCAATACGAGAATATCGCCTGAGGCCGTGCTTGTTCACTCGTTGGTTTAAGCTGTTAAGTGTTGTGTGTACTGAAAATAACAGGGATGGAAATTGGAGTTCACATGTTTTCCTAATGCGTTTGTACGGTTTTAGATCAGTAGTTGACCTTGATGTACACTTATTGCAGATAGAAATATCCCATTGCAAAGCTTATAAACAGTAGAGATATGGCACAGCAGTTGGTTATATTTCCTTATGTTTGCATTAAATCCTACAATACATAAAATTATTATTATTATTGTTATTATTATTATTATTATTATTATTATTATTATTATTTAACTGCAAATGGATTTTCGCCCGGTGGCAGTGGTACTACAATAAGACAACAGACATAAACACGTTCAAACAAAACGCAGCACACAAACATTAGTAGAACCTTTTCGGATTTTAACGTTACAGAACTTCTGAGAAGTAGTGGGTCTGGAACGGCGGTCCACTCAGCCTCGTGAGGATAACTGAGGAGCTATTTCAAGAAAATAGCGGCTCCGATCTACGAAACCGAGATTAACGGCCGTCGGGATCCGTTGCACTGACCCCGCGACATCCTCTATCCGCTAAAGTTGACACTAACTTCGCCGACAATTGGCGGTAGCTCGGTCGGTATAATTCGCTTGCGGACGACAGGCCACGGAGTTTAGTTTTCTTTTTGGTTTTAGAACTTCTAACACGAAGAGAAAATATGTAACGATAAAGAATGCTTATCAGAGTCTTATAAATCTGATTGGTTCATGGACGTCTATATATGAGATGCGCTAGTTACAGGGCTGGAGATTTGAATGATTATTTTGCACATTATTTTGGGGTGATGGAGAAGGAACCAGTCGTGGCGATTTTCGAAGTACTAACCCTTTTTTTTTTTCTAGGAAGACTTAGGGAAACAAGGATGTCGATTCTTAGAATTAGACATCTCTCGAAAGGACATGTCACTCGTATATATCCTTTTGCACTAACTCTCCTATAGGTTAAATTAATGTGTAATGTACAGTAACTGCCCGTGCCTTATACATTCCTTGTTCAGTGTCATTTCCTTTCTTTCAGATTGCATCCGCCGCTCGCTTGTAATTCCGATGTTCGGAGTGTTCCTGATCTCCAGTAATCCTAATTGACCGCTCGTCGGTGAGTAAAACGGGAAAGAGCATTCGTTTAAAGACAGATCTGTAACCATCAGATTAATTTGCGTCAGGACATTTAAACTCTATGTTACCTGCATATATATTCTGAAGTTACTCTCCCAGAAACTATTTTCAATTCGTTATAAAATTACCAAAACCGATAACAGTGGCGGCGCGGTCTAAGGCATAAACTGTCTTCGTTCGCTCGAACGCTAGGATCATGGGTTGGAATCCCACTGAAATCATGGATGTCTGTGTGCGTTTATTCTGTGTTGTTCTGTGTGCAGGTAGCGGCCTTGCGACGGGCTGATCCCCCGTCAGAGGAGTCCTACCGACTGTGTATAGGATTAAGAAACTGAAGAAACGGCCAGGGCCCAACAAAAGGACTGTAGTAAAGTAAGTAAAGGTATCCCTGTAACAGGCCATGGAGGCTCATAGAGTTGTGAGATGTTGAGGTTCCCACATTTTCCAGACAATGGGCTCATAGATGGCGGCAAGGTTGTCAGCCCTACGCGCCGGCCGCCCTTTACCCCCAAGAATATTCCTGGTACTCATTTCTGTTAGAGGCTGAGTCGACCCTAGGGCCACTGTGCGGCTGAAAGGATTAGGTAAATTGAAAAAGAAAATCAAGTGACCTCATCGGGACTTGAACCCGCGACCTTTCCGGCTTGTAGCATAGTGCCTCAACGAACATTTTGAAAATTACCGAACTGAGAGTATGCATTGCTACAGCATTGGAGCACATGATCCCATAACGTGCAGACACACACACACACACACACGCCATGTTCTGTAACTGGAACATTTTAACTCTTAACTTGCACTTTTGCATTGTGAAGGATGAGGCAGTAACTCATACTAACAACAGATGTATATATATCTTGTCACTGCTCTCTTAACACCTTTGATTCGCTGTTTGAAAAGCACTCACTGCTGGCATGACGCGAGGCAGGGATCTGTTCGATGAGGCAGTGACTGGCAATAATAGCGAACGTGTTTCTTGCATGTCACCATGCTAGTTGCAGGCTTCAAGTTACACTAATTCATCATTTCTTGTATGCGCATTTGCTATGTTGCTATTAATTTTCTTGAAATGTTCCCCGATTAAAGTTTAATGGTCCTGCAAACTCTGTTTTCATGTAGCCTAAATCTTGGGACGATGCAGTTGCGTCCATCTCGTGAATTCCCACGCCAATGTATCGATGTTCGAAATATCGCTGCGGATAGGTTTCCTGTAATGATTTCTGGATTTTTAATTGCGTTTCTCATCTGCGTAGATTGGGTACCGTCGTGTGATTTCTGAATGAGAAACTGGAAATTACGTTAATGGAATCTGCGGGATTTGCCTGAAGAGTATGAAGAAGACCACGGACAATTTCAAATCAGCCTGACCGCCCTCCGGGTTGAGATTGAGACGTGGAGGTCCCTAATGATCTTGTGTTCATAGCGAGTTTTACGAATTTAAGGAGCCAAAATAGATCGATCGATATAGAGTCTAGGCTGCAGGCTGGATGCGAAGCAGAGGCTGCAGAGACAGCTTTCAGACCTGCTCCGACACCCAGATAGCCATCTACTGGAGGCCCGGTTAGGCCGTGAAGATGACCTCTAGTGTGCAGCTAAATAGGGTACTGACTGCACTCACCCTCTACATGCATTCATGTCATTCCTATGTTATTTAACGATGATTTATCAGCTTCGGAGAGTACTTGGCGTCGAAACATTAATGTTGATGCGCATTTGTTAGCCGGCATAGCGACTGGGTACGGACTGGACGACCGAGGGATGGGGTTTCATGTCCCGATAGGGTCAAGAATTTTCTCTTTTTCACATCGTCCAGACCGGCTCTGGGGTTCTATTCAGTGGGTACTTGGGGTAAAGCGGCCGGGGCGTGAAGCTGACCACTCACCTCCAGCTAGTGCCGAGGTCAACAAAATGTGTATCTATGCATTCACTTCCCCATACGCCTTCGTGGCCTAGTGCTTAGTTAAGCACAGGGACAACTTCAACTTAACGTGATAGTTGTTATGTCAGTTGAATTGACACTCAAACTAATATAAATAAGTTGAGTGATCTACGTCAATCTTCATGTTGCAACTTTGTTATTATGTTAAGACTATTGTAGGAAGTCAGGACATAATGAAACGTGCCCATTTCCGTGTCTTGTATCACCAGACATACCGACGGGTTGAATATATTTTCGTAACCTTTATTCTCAGTCATCACCGAGACAAACTACGTCTTGAATAGTAAGTAAATTGTCATAATTTTCTCTGGCGCTCTTCAGTATAGATTTTATTTTTGCGTACATTCCGCAAATATCCATTACTCAGTCCTATTGCATGTCTGAATGAACTGCGCATGCCTGTTTATTCAATATTTCTTGAGATATCGTAATAGAGGTGTTTTTGCATGCTGGTTGTGATATGACAGCAGGATAGAGAACCATCTTGTTTGTTACGAAGAGGCCGACTTTATTGTGTTAATCCTGTAGGTTATACGTGTATATGGCAGCACTGTTGCAGTTTTTAGAGCCGCAGGTTATGCTAGATAGATTGAATTTGAACCAGTAATCCACAGATCGTAATGAAAGGCTGGCCTTGTACACTTGCTATCATTGACGGGGCACTATTTTCACACAAAACGACCTTCACTATCAACCAAGTGGGACGGTCGGAACCATTGTTTCAGCACTGATTTCTCTGTTTGTGAGACTCGTATATAATATGATTGAAATTATACGAACAATTAGAAATAATAATAGTACTCAAACCACATATCAAACACAGAACATGCATATGGAACCATAACAGATACAATGGACATCACAAGAACACACAGAAGAGGAAAACGCCTAAACACATTGTAAAAATACCATTTATACAAAATCAGTGAATATAATATACACATGAACGACGCAGACATGGGTACACGTAACCCAGTATTCAGTACGTTGCAGTAAATGAACACCAGTTAGCAGAATCCCCCCCCCCCACGAAACCACTGAACGCAACGAAAAGGAAAGAAACGTAAGTAACATAAAATCACAGAGACAGAATAACATATCAGTGTGTTAAACAAATAAAACACTAATGTAACCCGTCGTTACATATTACAGATACACCAGGACCACGACACGTCTGCTATCAAAAGTGGCAACGATAAAAGTAACATGTAAAAGATTTTATAAGCATTTTGCATTACTCGTAAGTGCAAAATGCGACAGCGTAACAGCAGAGCAGCAGTTTTCATATACAATCTCGTACGTGTAGACGTGATGATGGTCAGTTAGGCCCGAAATGCATAATAAGAAGAGGCAAATATATGACTGCAGTTGCACAGAGACGGTGGAAGTGGGAATCCTAAAATAGGATTAACCGAAATGTTTATGTACTGGACGGTAGAACATGCTGTGTTGCCTCTTGGGAATTCATAACATTGCAATGAGAATTCATAACGCAGCCGAAGGGAGCATTAACTATTGTTTTCGCCGCTATCGATTTTAATATTCCATCCATGTTATGTCCGATTTCTCGAACTCGTATATTCAGAATGAAAGTTGTCGCAAATTGCCCGCCTCTGTGGTCTAGTGGTTAGAGTTCTTGGCTACAGATCCAGAGGTCCGGGCTCAATTTCCGGCGCTACCAAAATTTACTGAGAAGTAGTGGGTCTTGAACGGGATCCACTCAGCCTCGCGAGGATAATTGAGGAGCTGTTTCAAGGAAAAAGCGGCTCCGGTCTAGAAAACCTTCATTGCGCTGACTATGCGACACCCTCTATCCGCTAACTTCGCCGACAAGCGGCGGTCGCTCGGTCAGTATAGTTCGCTTGCGGACTACAGGCCATGGAGTTTGTTTTTTGTTTATTGTCGGAAAAGACAGAGTATATTTCAGTTTTACTTTGGATAATGTCTTTAAGATACATAGCTCAGTCGGTTAGCGACGGACTGCAGGCTGGACAACCGATGAATTGGGTTTCGATTCCCGAGAGGAGCAAGAGAGTCTTTTCTCTTCTCCATAACATCCAGACTAGCTCTGCGGCCCTCCCAGCTTCCTATCGAATGGGTAGAAGAGGTTCTTTGCTCTGGGGTAAGGTGGCGGAGGCATGAAGCTGGCCACTCACCGCTCTCCAGTGCCAAGGTTAAGAATGGTGGAGCTATACCTCAACACCCCTATACGCCTTCTGTAATAAATTAAGTCGAGGAATAACATTACCGCCTACTACTTTCATAAAAATTTAGGATGAATATCAGAGCTGAAGAGCCTGTTGCGTCCGTCTTCAGGGTTGATCTCCTGTTAAGCTGGAGGCAGCAGGTTCACCCTAAATGTTAATGCCTATCTACTGAGCTACACGACGTCAGATTCCATAAGACCGCCATTTTACAATGTCACGGTGTGAATGTTATATATCCTCCTGTTTCGGAATTGATCGGACTTTTATACACTTTTTCTTCTTAAGACTGAACTGACCAACGCCCAACATTTCTTAAATTGGACGTCCTTGAAGGAGTTTATTACAAGACACGGAACTCGGCGCTATCCGTTGAGTAAAGTGACATCGTGGAGCTGAGCGAGACTTACTGTTTCTCGGAATATCGCATCGTGATACACGCGGGACTCCACTTTATGGTCTTATTATTATGCCGCGATGTTGCTAAAACACGTTCCTAATGCTATAATTTGCAGTGCTAACCTTGAACACAGTGACATATGGGTTAGAATTCTCTTCAGTTCCCGTAAAATCCTTTGTTGGGTAAAATTAAAGCGAATTCGACTAGTTCCAGACACGAGAATTTTGAGGGCCCTCATATTTTCTGTGGGCATAGCATAGGAAGGAACCCAAAAGGATCTTTGTCCAATTAATTAATCAGAACATGTACAGACAACAGTAACACGTAGAAATACGAGGGGCTGTCTGAAAGTAAATTTACAAGGCGTGTAATCTAACAAAACAAGTGACCTACACTGCTTGCGGTTACGTGTGAAGGACATGTTAATCAGGTAATAT